CTTAAAGTAAAAAGATAAAAGTGAAATGTCATCATATGTAACCTTATCATTCCTATTGTTATTAGACAGGCTCAATCAAACCATGCCTGCAATGTTTCCAGTTGTTGTTTTTTTTCCATACTTTTGCTATGTCCATGTCTTACTACTTTTTCTATGTGCATGTCTTACTACTTTTGCTTTGTACATGTCTTACTACTTTTTCTATGTCCATGTCTTACTTCTTTTTCTATGTACATGTCTTACTACTTTTGCTATGTACATGTCTTACTACTTTTGCTATGTACATGTCTTACTACATTTCTATGTACATGTCTTACTACTTTTGCTATGTACATGTCTTACTACTTTTGCTATGTACATGTCTTACTACTTTTGCTATGTACATGTCTTACTACATTTCTATGTACATGTCTTACTACTTTTGCTATGTACATGTCTTACTACATTTCTATGTACATGTCTTACTACTTTTGCTATGTACATGTCTTACTACATTTCTATGTACATGTCTTACTACTTTTGCTATGTGCATGTCTTACTACTTTTGCTATGTACATGTCTTACTACTTTTGCTATGTGCATGTCTTACTACTTTTGCTATGTACATGTCTTACTACTTTTGCTATGTGCATGTCTTACTACTTTTGCTATGTGCATGTCTTACTACTTTTGCTATGTGCATGTCTTACTACTTTTGCTATGTACATGTCTTACTACTTTTGCTATGTACAAAAAAAGTGATGTCTTACTTTTGCTATGTACATATCTTACTACTTCTGGTATTAATACGGGACAAATTTTTGTTTTCAGACCGCTCAGGGCTAGAATCTCCAGAGAAAGTCGAGGCAGTGCAGGAACCAGTATTAGAAGCATTAAAACACTACATTAAATCACGGCGGAAAGATCAGCCTCAGGTTTATGCAAAAATGTTGATGAAAATAACTGATCTCAGGAGTATAAGTGTTAAAGGTGAGTTCATGGTAAAAGCTTGTCATGTTCCTTTAGTACTGGCTATTGAATAATTTAGCTTAATTTGGGGATTATATTGATGAAAAAAATAATCTTGTTATGCTGTTTGTTGTCATATGAGTAAACAATGCAACCAGTGATTCTACCAAGGGGCATTGTTCATGCATGTTCTAATTTCATCTGTTACCATGGCAACTCATTTGACCCTGTAAGTCATGACAAGTAAGTATAGCTTTACACTCATTTTCGTTTTTATCCAATAAAAATAAACTTAAAATTACAGTATTTTTTAACATTTTAAAGCATTTTATCGTGGTCATTTCAAAATTTAGATGTATCTGTAGATGAGGTCATTAGGTCAATCAAAGGTCAAAGTCATGACAAATTTAAAGATGTCAAAGTGCACATGACTCTATAAAAAAAAAAAAAAGACAAAGGATTTCAGTATCAAACAATAGTGATCTGTACATTCAATAATCAAGTGCAGATATACATGTAAAGGATATTATAATAAATTAGTGTAGGTTCATGAGCAAATTTATTGAACGAGTTAATCAAATAAAACTATATTATGTGAGCATATTTTATTCAACAAGTTCAATAAATTCTGTAATGGACCTACACGAATATAACATATGACTAACATATGACGTTTTATTTATCACATACTCTAAGTAAAGACTGCTAACAGTGGAAAAGAATCATTTTTCATTGACACTCTTATAAAGTAGCGCCAATATTTAGCACATCTTTTCACTATGTTTATATAACTCAAATGTCGAGGGATCAAAATATATGCACAGCAATGTGTCCATTTGAATGAAGTCCAAAAAAAGCAGCATGAGTAAGTGATAAAGTGATAAAAGTGTTTTATTGAACAATAGATATATGACCTTTATTTATGACCTTCAGGCTTTGTTCATGACCTTTGTTTATGACCTTCAGGCTTTATTCATGACCTTTGTTTATGACCTTCAGGCTTTGTTCATGACCTTTATTTATGACCTTCAGGCTTTGTTCATGACCTTTGTGTATGACCTTCAGGCTTTATTCATGACCTTTGTTTATGACCTTCAGGCTTTGTTCATGACCTTTGTGTATGACCTTCAGGCTTTATTCATGACCTTTATTTATGACCTTCAGGCTTTGTTCATGACCTTTGTGTATGACCTTCAGGCTTTATTCATGACCTTTGTTTATGACCTTCAGGCTTTGTTTATGACCTTTGTTTATGACATTTGTTACAGGTGCAGAACGTGTTTTACATTTACGTCTGGAAATGCCTGGTGAATTACCTCCCCTGATAATAGAAATGCTGGACAGAACAGAAAATGTGTGTATACCTTGAGAGAAGACATAGTGTTTCTAGATTTGATAGAAAATTATTGCTGGATCAATTTTGGCTGAACATTTCATATGACTAAAGCTGAAAGGGGAAGACTTCCAGAATTAGGAGCTAAATTCAATGGTGTTTGTTTTATGAAAAAATGAAACGTTACCAGTGTTGTTGTTGTTGTTGTTATTTGGACGGAAATCAGAAGAAATGTCACTGTCAAGAGTGATAAAAGGACTATCATTTACATAAGGCAAAATGAATTAAAGTAACTTTACATTATACGAATCAGAACTTTATCATTATTAATGGAAAACTGTGAATTGGAAATTTAGCATGAAAATGGAAAATGATTTGAGTGATATTTATGGATTTTGAAGTGGAAATTTACTAGAAATTGGTTTCCTCCAGAGCAAAGTGGAAATTTTCAAAATATTCTTCTGACAAAGTGGAAATTTACCCATTTTCTATCTAATGACAGTGGAAATTTACCAAATTTTCATCTGACAAAGTGGAAATTTACCAAATTTTCATCTAATTAGAGTGGAAATTAACTAAATTTTATCGAACAAAGTGGAAATTTACCAAATTTTCATCTGATAAAGTGGAAATTCACCAGTTTTCATCAAAGTGGAAATTTACCAAATTTTCATCAACAAAGTGGAAATTTACCAAATTTTCATCTAATAAGAGTGGAAATTTACCAAATTTTTTGGATAATTCAAGTAGAAATTTACCAGGAAGAGGTGCAGAATCTTATGGTTGGATTACAGTTTGACATCTGTGAATTATTTAATAGAGAATTGTTTTATTTGACATAATCAAATATTATCCCAGTGAGTTTAATTATAAAAAGTTATGGTCATCATAATTATGAAGTACTCTGTAACCATGTGATTGAGAACCTCATTATGTGGTGTGATATCTGATATGACACAGCTTTTTTCAGTTTTGCTTAAAGCAACACAAAAACATGAAGATATTTGAACTTTACAAAGAAAGTTTTTTTGGAGTACAGAAAATGTTGTGCTTTTTGTGAAAGAAAAGGGATATTAAAACATTTTGACAAAGTGAAGTTTTAAAACATTAAACATGCCATGTTATTCATACGGATGAAAATATATAATGATATTCATTATAGAAGTCGTGTTTAACTTGCAATACTGTCCATATTTGTTTTTCCTCATCAAAGCCATATAAATTCAAATGTAACAATAACTGTTCACTTTTGATTAAGTATTAAATCTTTTAAAAAATCATTAATTTTTTTAATGAAGTAAGAAAAAAGTGTTGTTATTTTATCATTATTGTAAGATGAGAAAAAAGTGGAAATTTAGATCCTGTCTGACACTGTGGAAACCAGAAAAAAACAAACAGTTAATGTTTTATTAAGCCTAAAATGTTTGATCTCAGTTGTGTTGTTAATCCTTCACTGTTGGTAAAATATAGATGACTGGATATTTCAAATTTTAAAGGCACCATATATACAGGAATTTGTAGTAATTACTTTGGCAGTTGAAGTAACATTACATTATAAAATGGTTACATGACTGATAAAAATGGTTACAATACATTACAATATGGTTACATAACATGTAGCTGATTACATAACATATGAGATGATTACATAACATATAATGTGGTAACATAACATATAAGATGATTAAATAACAAATAAAATGGCTACATTACATATAAAATGCCTGCATTACATATAAAATGCCTGCATTACATATAAAATGCCTGCATTACATATAAAATGCCTGCATTACATATAAATGGCTTAGTGAAGGCTTTGGTTCAGAAAAATCTCATGTTTAGATATATATTTGTTGAATTGGATATCATTTGGTATACCATTTGTTTTGTGTAAATACATCAGTTTAATCATCCAAACTGTAAAATCTATTTCCAGAAATGGTCTTTTATTAGAAATATTTTTTTGATATTTATTATTCTTTAAGCCAAATTGTTTGATAAAATGTCTTGCCAACTGATATTATTGTATCAACAACTTTGTTTAAGGACATTTTTTTTGTCGAAGATAAGACTTTGATACAATGTTAGATCATTTTCCTTTCTACCAGTGTCAGGTATAGGAAAACATGAAATTAAATTATTTATATTTTTTTTGGTGTTGAGAGAGATAACCAGATATATGTATTATTTTCTGATTAGATCCGTGAAAAAAAAATTGCTGCTGATTATGATATTAAAGTATTTTAGACTATAATTATCATGTTTTATGTTGAAAATAAAATAAATCTATATTAATATATTTTGATGTACTGTTAACTTCATAGTTCTTCTCAGGAAATAGAGCTCTAGAATGAGATTTAATTTTGCTCAAAAGTAGAAAAACAATAGCAGCATATCAGGGACTGGAAATTTTCCTTTTATTTTTGTTTTGCAATAGATATTTACTAAAGAAAACCCACAAAATGCATGCACATTTAATAAATTGTATGATAATGTTTTTTTATAATTTCATTTTTTTTATGAAGGAGAAATACACGCTTAATATGTAAGTTAGGCGCAAATATAATGTTAATGAAAATTTAACTCACCATGGAAATTTTTTTTATTAAGTAAGGGCAAAACAGGGCTGCCGATTTTCCGCGGATTTCCGATTTCGTGAGCTCCTGGGTCATTTTTGAGATCGATGTAAATTCGACAAAGACAAAAAATTCATTCGTCATATTTTATACAGTACCCAAAAACCGGCACGCTTCGGCTTTTATCGTTACGCTAGCCGCCTATGGTACGTCTGTAAGCGCTTTTCTCATTGGTCATATCGAGTCTTTTCCGGAATTCTATTTTAGAATAGCCAATCAAATTACAGTTTACATTGGCGCTCTTGTCTGTTGTCAAAATGCGTCAAAATGTCGGATATTTGTCAAATTTAGAGTCCAGGAAATTGATTTTAGGGCATACCAAATCATCAGAATCCAGGAGCTTTCGGGGGCTTCGCCCCCTGAGACCCCCACCAGGGCTCTGCCCTGGACCTGCAAAGGGGGCTTGCGCAGCCCCCTTGACCCCCAGCGTATTTTCCGCTGATTTTGAAATTTGCTGTTGGCAGCCCTGGCAAAATTAATGATGTTTCTTTATTTGAAAAGAAAACACCCTATAATGATTTTATTTTCTTAATTTTGTCACACTTTCAGATAAATAAGGTCAAGGTTATTGCAGATTATTAGGGTCAATGTTGATGAGGTTAAAACACGATTTTCCCACTTTTCCTCTTATAAACCCTTACAACACTAAATATTTTAAATGGGACTTGTCCATCTTTTCAGTCTGGACTAAACCATTCATCATTTATAGGAATAATTTCAAATATCTACTGACTTAATATCGAACAGTGCAGATTAGACAGGCTGATGTACAGGCTGATAATGGCCTGTTCTAGTCTCGTGTTAAAAATAAGTTGCCAGGTGATGAGTAAAGACCATTTTTTTATGTGTCTAAGCAACATAGGGGAGAATCCTTCAATATGAACAATATACTTGTTTTGTAAATATACATGTATATATATAAATAATTATATATACATAATTATATTTGCTATAAGTCGTGATTTAACTAAGGCATGTGTAGTATACATGTACATGTTTTGTCAGCGTTCGGGTAAAAATACATATTTTTGTGTATATATTACGTTTGTGTATGTCAAAGAGATTATGTTTAACCGGTGTCCATGGAAATTATGAGCGTCAATAGTAACTGCATTTTAGATTCGATAAATTTCGTACTGATAAAAAAAAAAATTCATTTCTCTCTTAGTAACAAGTGCATGTCCTTACAGAGTATTAAATACTTGTGAACAAAACTTTATTGAATTTGATATTTATAGATGCAGAAAAAAACTTTTGTAATTTGTATTTATCAAATAAACTAAGTAAGGTTTTTTGTTACAATGTATTGTTTGATTATCTTTAATTGCAGAAAAAAACTTTTGTAATTTATATTTATCAAATAAATGAAGTAAGTTTTTTGTTACAATGTATTGTTTGATTTGTATAAATCACATTAAGAAATAAGCTGTGTATTTGTATAAACCACATCAAGGAATGGAGAAGTTTATTTGTATAAATCACATTAACGAAGAAAGAAGCTATTTATTTGTATAAATCACATCAAGAAGTGAGTTGTATGAATGGAGAAGTTTATTTGTATAAATCACGTCAAGAAAGAAGTTGTTTATTTGTATAAATCATATCAAGAAATACCGATAAGGCTGTTTATTTGTATAAACCAAATCAAGAAGTGAGTTGTATGAATAGAGAAGTTTATTTGTATAAATCACATCAAGGATGAGTTGTATGAATTAAAAGGTATATAAATTAAAAATTATTGATGCTTGTGTTGAGATTCTGTAAAATTGTCATATGAAAAAACCTGTATCTTGTTGTGTGTTTATAAACAACAAATAATTTTCTTGTTTTTCCTGATAAAAGTTACGGGTATTTTATGTTGATATGTAGCATTATTGATCATGTTTTTGTTGCTTTAGTTACATCAGAGGTTCGTATTTCTTGATGGAATTAAGAGCCTATGCTCATGGTAGGTCATTGTTATGTGGTAAGTTTGACTTGTTTTAACTACTGATATTGTGTTAAAATTTTGCTGTATTGTATATTTGCTAGATTCAATTTTATATCTGATATTTGTCAAAATGATATTTTATGATAAAGTATGATTATCTGGTGCATTTTAGAGAGTCCCTGCTAATTTCTTGCAGATTGCAGATTATATTTTCAATATTGCCTAGTTATATTTTAAATATTGCCTGATAATTCTTTGCAGATTGCCAGTCATATTTCAAATATTGCGCCTGACATTTTGTTAAAAAATCTTCTCGATATAGACAGTTTATCTAATTTATATACATATATAGTGCATTACGAATGTAATTTTACAAAGGCTGGTTAATTTATTATCCCTAGTGTTAAGAAATTATTGCCTTTATAAAACAATTGCCATTTATCTAAGGAGTTTCCTCATTGCCAGATATGTTAGGATTACAGAATATTATTGATGTCATAAAATAAAGTGAATAAGATTATGTTATAAAGATAGGGTATAATCCTGTAAAGATAAGAGGGAAGAAAAGGAAAGTAAACTGATAGTTTAAATAT